ATTTAGCCAAAGCCGCGAAAGTTTGTCGTTTTACAGTATAGTATTCAGAGTCGCACACTATTCGGCGCTTATGTACTCTTCGTAGAACCAATGAAGACAGGATGAAGGTACAAAACAAACTTACAATTCAAAGGTTGTGCTTTAGCTAGCCGAACTGGAGGCAAACACGCAAGAACATGCGCAAAGAGAGGCACAAACGCGCGTGCACACACACACACACGCACACACACACACACACACACACAATCAAAAATGACACACACACACACGCAAATTCACGCAAACACACACACACACACACGTATTCTCAGTCATTACCTGATAAAGTGAACAAATAAACACACACACAAGCACAGGACAGAACAGGGTATTCCCAACTTTGCGACGATTAGCAAAATACTGAAAAGTGTTTCCAAAATCCATAAAGGCATTGTACTTACCTTGATATGTGAGCCCGGAATCAGAGACATTGCCAAGGGAATCTGAAGCAACACAAAGATCAAATCACTCGATCCTTTGAGCTACACACAATATGCTCAAGCAGGCTAAGGAGATTCCCCGGACAGGCTTCCTTGACCAGAACAGCAGCACCAGCAAACCAACAACAGAACGGCAACAGAACGGCAACATAACGGCAACAGAACGGCAACAAAACGGCAACATAGACTGCTTACCAAGAGGGGTCGATGAGTCCTGCAGCCAAAGAGGTTTAATATCAAATGCCTGCGTTTGGTCTGGTGCAAATAAGTCGATGGTGCCCTGGAAAAACCCTGTAGTGCAGTTCATAGAGCAAGTTGTGTTGCGCGAGCAGTTGGCAAGGTGCTTTATGATGGCCTCAGACTCCTGCAGGGTGAACTTGACACTACGCACGCTGACTTGAGGTTGGAATTTTGTCAGTCGCAGGAGCACATGAGCGTCATTGATTATAGCACAGTGGGAGAAGTCGAAACTGTAGCCGGGGAAATCCACGTAAAAGTCTGGACGGATGACGTTGGCCATGACACTCTGGTTATAGCGCAGTAACTGGATAGTATGAACTGGATCTAGACATATGAAAAAGGGAAAATGGTAACAGCAGTCTGCAGTGAATAGATGATATGCCAAATAACGTGCAACTAGACTTGGGAGGGCATTGCAGAGCAGTTGCACACAAAGTTCAAAGTTGTACGTCACCTGTGTCTTGTATTCCTGCAGAGCTAGCTCAGGGCCTACCCTCTACACATTGTAGTACAATTTGTATGCAACTTGTGTGCGATGCCCTCTCAAGTCTAGTTGCACATTATTCGGCATATCATCTATTCGCAATGCCAGGGTAGGCAGAATTTGTGGATATCGGCCAGGTTTCCGGCCTTTTGTTGTGCCTGTTGATTTTATTTTAATTCACAGTGACCAACCGAGCAGAGGTGCTCAATAACAAGGAAGCGAATTTGCCTTTTCCTATGGTCTAGAATGCTCCTAGGAAGGGAGTTGTAGCTAGGTGTGGAATACGCACACTGATCGATTGACATCTTCTTGAGAATTTTTTAGCATTTCATGATCGCCAAATTATATGAATTTTGGAGTCTCCTATCAGCTTTTCGCACTGGCGTCCGCTTTTCCCAAAAAAAGTCGTCGCAGTTACACGGATGGCTTTGCCAACCCATGGCCTTGAGAATAAGTCCGCGGCCATTCCATTTTCGTCACATGGTGCGGAGAGTGAATGCATTGAAGCTCCAAAGAAACTACAGTGCGTATGGGTTATAGCGTGGTCGTGTAAAAGAATATACCGCCTACAAGAATGAACTCCCATGTTTTCATAATCATAACATGGGTTTCAAGTGCACTTTTATTCTTACAAGCAATTTTATCGCATAGTAGAATATATCGGTCCTAAGAATGGACATTGTGTAGCGAAACATACCAGATTAGTACAAAGTAGTAATAATATCCGTCCAATGCAGTTCCGATCTGACTCGCGTTGCGTCGTAGTGCTGCAGGTTCAACTGTTGTGGTCATGTAAATCATGTTGGATAGCCACATGGTAAGCCTATGGGACTATGACCGGCCGCATGCACAGTAGCACTACGTTGCACGTAGATCTACGATGCTCTTCCTGCCCCTGCCCACATACATATGTCACACTTGATGTATCGTGTGTAAAAAATATTGGAAATAAGAATCGAAAGTCGTTTTTCAACACTCACGCTATAACCGATACCTACTGTATTTTTAAAATCACGAAACGAAATGGGACGTATGCCGCGCTTCAACATTTACCAAACTTTCGACATCTCCTCTCTCGATCTCCTCCATATCGCGAGGAAGAACAGGTCCTGGTTGTTGTAAGCCAGACGTACGGGAGTGAGTTGGTCATTTCAATTTTTCATGCATTCGCACAGAATACTTCTTCGAGTTCACAGTGAGTTTTTTCCAGGCAGCTCATACGGCTAACCCATTCAGCGCTACTGGGCCTTGCCTATGGTACTCTGCATATAAATCCTAAAACAGGGCCAATAGCAAGTTCTAAAACTTCAGGGTTCTGGCACCTGGGGTCCTCGATTTTGTTTGGAAATGCTGGCCAAGACTATCAACCAATGGGTGACAGAATCGATACAGTCCCCAAAAAGAATAAAGAGGAGTGTGATGGCGAAGCCAAGTGAAGTGGGTCAGGTCAAAGGGGATGGAGGAGAATTGGAGTCGGCAGATGAATCGGATGATGGAACGGATGATGGAACCGATAATGATAAATGCGGAGAGTCGAGCAGCGTAGGAGAGAGAGTGGACATGAGATGGATGGTGAGAGTCGTATTCCTGTATTTTGGTTTTGCAGCAGGAAATCTTCTGCGTACAATAATCTTGTAACAAGTCCTCATGGTTTCAATTCGTTTAAATTCTTTATTCTCACAATGGCACCATCACCAATTGGACATAAGTTTATGAGAAGGTGAGATGCTGTGGGTGGGGCTGCAGGTTATGGAGTTGGAAAGTAATTTACGTCATTTTGAATTTTACAAGTATGGGAGAGGGTGAGCGCTGCAGGAGCAGATTGAGTTAATCAGCAGTGAGTAGATTTCTTATTTTACTGTATTGTGCCGTGATTGTCATGGTTACGGACTAACGTTAAATGTGTTGGAAGGTATTTATCAACGTCTTTACCAGCCTAGTTTGTGCCTAGTTTGTGCGTACAAAGGGACATGCTAT